ATCATTCCTGACGTGCTTTTAAAGTTATAGGCTTGCTGGTTTAGAAAGACTACTTGCCAAATTGCGGGTTCTTTGGTAACACTTTAGGACGCTCTTTTGACCCGGCATGTGTCCTATCTGTTGAGCTTTACGTCCTCAGTTAAATGGGTAAGTCCTTAAGGAAAGCTAAGTGGCTGCAGAAATCATTAGACTACCTTCGTGCAAATCCTGGGGAAGAGGAATGATTCATATTCAGTGACGCAGATCACATCTTGTAATTCAGGTGCAGTGACCTGAGAAATGTAAATTGGAATTCAAAAGTACAATCTCTGGTGACTAATCCTTACCCTCTTTTGAGGCTCAGTTTTTTTTTAAGAGCAAGACACTTTCTCGTGACTTTGAAGACGATTACGTCAACTCAGTGAATGACGGTCAAACACAAGGCAGAAAAGCTGAACCATGCTATTTTCCAAGAAAAATGTATGCCAGTCATTCTTGTCAGAGAAAGCGAAGTTCTTCGATAAAGTTTGCTCGATGTCGACCTAAATTCGCCACTTAATTTAAATCAGAAAATGAGATATGGTGGGAATGGAATATGTGGCCTTTGGCAGTACGGGAAGACAGGGTCCTTCTCCCGATATATTGAGGGTATTGCGTCATATTTCAGGAGAGGTACCTGCTCCCATATCATAACACAAACCTCGATCCTTACTGCAACCTTAACTCCAATTATGTCCCTAGAATTTAGCGCAAACCTATCTTTATTGCGGTGCTTTCCTGTTCTCTTTTTCTGCCGAAGGGGGGGGGTGAGGTCGGCTGGACACTTTCCTCCTTAACTTCCTTTTAACGATCTTCTCAATTAATTTTCCAGGATTTTTTTAATAAACTAACCTTTTAAAGCTTTCGGAACTGTTGCTATTTTGGCTAAAAAATGTAAGTAATTTGTTGTCTTTTATCGCCGTTTGCTGTATTGTTGGAATAGGTCTTATGGTTTGATTCTGTTGCTTTTGCTGGATATACGCGTGTTCACATTGCCCTTGGAACATAACCACGCGATCAGTACACACTGTTTTTGTATTCGTTAAAGGCCGCTCTTCAGTCTTGTTTTCTTCGTACTTTTTTTATCCCACCGGCTTAAATTTTAAACCCCATGGTGCCTCAGTAACGGAAACAGTGAGCTCGCTGAACATACCAGGACGAATTTACATTCAGTTTAAGCGGTGGTTTAGTCATCATTTGAGCACCAAGTGAGCATCTGTCTCCTGGGGTGTTTGCGACAGGTATTTTTAATAACGAAACGAAAGTTAAGAGCCTCAAAACGTACACAGCATATTTTTCAAAAGCTTTCTTTTTGTTGGCGTTACTTTTTTCCGCCCTGCGTTTATGATCCCCCGCAGAATCAAAGTACCAACCTCGGCCACCTGCTCTCCGTCGGATCTTGTATATTTTCGCACATATTCTCACTATTCTGCGCCCAGGAGTGCACTGCAATGACTATGGTGTTAATGGCATCAAGAAAAGTCAGATATCCGTCGACGCTGGTTTACCACACATATTTGAAGCCCTGCCTTAATTACATTGTGAAGTCACTGTTTTAAGTGCTGCACATTATTCCTACGTCAACCCTCATCTAAAAAGCTTGTCCCGGAGGCGGGTGGTCTGCACCGTTTACTACGCCAACACTCACGTGTTTTGGCTCCACTTTTTGAGGGCATGATTTATCGCGTTCTAACGACCGATCCGTAACTCCTTTTGAAGCTGACCAACTTTCCTATCTGTCAGTTGATCCACTAGCCGATATCCAGATGTGTCCATTGCCGAACACTTGTTGCGATGGTAACATTTCGCAACATAGGCCGTCACGTGCAAGTACTGTCT